CAAGCACAATAACCAAACAAAATACGCTCCCGTTGACAAAACTCCCCTTTAATGGGTTGGTCACACTAGTGTCCGGAACCTGTATCGTAGTTTCCGACGATGCAGGCCACGGCTGATGTGAGCTTGCTCTGCCGAGGTGTGAGTTGCAGTAGTGGATCAGGAGCCAGTCACTTCGGGCCTTGATCAGATAGTACGCAGTGAGTGTTAGAGATCGGAATCTTCACTGCCCCGAGCGAGTCTAGTCCGTCCGTTTATTCCGGGACTGGCTAAGTGTCGGCTATGCCTCAGGGAACTGGGGTAGGAGCACTATCTTCGAGGGTACACCCGTTCCTAGTTATAACAACCCGTTCCGCTCCGTACGATGCGCTGGTGAATCAAAAAACATGAGTAATTTACTGGAAACAAACAAGAGTGGAAACGGGCTTCATGCCCAACCAGCAGCGATTGAAGCAAGTGCTGAAATGAAGAGAACGCAAGCGCTGGAGCGTCTTGAAAAGCTGACCATTGAGCTACAAAAATTTGTCCAAACTAAGGTCAACATCCACAAGGAGATTAAGACCAAGACAACCGGTGTAGTCAATGCTCTTAGAAGATACAAGAAACTGGACGAGGAATGGCAGTCATCACGACGACTAACGCCTCGCATTACGCCAGAGAAAGGCAGTCAAGCTGTTTTTGAGACTGAGGAATCAATGGACACCGGTGCCGACGGTGACGGTAAATCTGTTGCTGACGACAAGAGTGAAGGTGCTCCCAAGTCTAATAAGAAGAAGGACCGAAACTCGCCAGATCCAACAGAAAGGCGAGTGGCAAAGAAGAAGGACCTGAAGTCAAGTCCTCCGAAAGACGTGACGAAGCAGAACGCCGAAAATAAAGACGCAGCTGCCTGGCAAAACGTCCAATCAAGGAAGGAGAAGAGGAGACTAGCCGAAGAGCAGCTCCTAAAGCAGACTTCGAAGGAGCCCAGGCCGAAGCGTAAGCAGGAAAAACCCCGCAAATGGATCAGACCCGACGCACTGATCATTCGCCCTGCCGAGAAGGAGAAATACGCCGAGATTCTGCGTCGAATCAAGCAGTCCGTCCCTGATGAACAGGTTCGTACGACTGTGGAAAAAATCCACAAGACCAATACCGGGGACATGCTGATCACACTTTCGAGAAAGAGTGCTGATAGAGGCGAAGTCCTACAAAAGACCATCGCGGACATCCTTAAAGAGGAAGCCAAAGTGATATGCAAAGGGCCACAGGAGACTATCGAGATCCGAGACGTCAATGACGACACGACGAAGGCAGACATTCAAACTGCACTGAAAAAAGAAGCCGGAGAAATCTGTGAAATACCTCTGGAGTCGATCAAGATCCGTAAAGCCTACAGAGGTACTCAGACTGCTACAGTGACGCTACCAGCGACAACTGCACAGAAGCTACTAGAAGGAAACAGCAAAGTGAGAATTGGTTGGGCCAACTGCCGAATAAGAGCAACGAAGAGACCTGTCCAATGCTTCAAATGCTGGCACTTTGGGCACTTCGGATCCCAGTGCAAAAGTAAAGTCGATCGGTCTAGGCTTTGCATCAGGTGCGGACAAGAAGGGCACAAGATTGCTGATTGTGAAAATCCAGCCAAATGTGCACTATGTGCTGAGATTGAAAGTGCAGAGAATGTTGCCCACCATGCCGGTACCCATAAGTGCCCGGTATTTCAGAATGCACTCCAGAAGTTGACGAACAAGCAAGCATGAGGATACTGCAGCTCAATCTCAACCATTGTGAGGCAGCGCATGACCTACTCATGCAATCCGTGCGAGAACTAGAGCTTGACTTGGTACTGATAGCAGAGCCATATAAACACCTGAGTAGGCTCACACGTAACAATCAAGTTTCTCTATTCCACTGAAAATTAAAAAAAAATTTTAATTCTAGACTTCGAAACTTTTTACGATACTGAATCAAAAGACATCTTACAACTTTTCCGATTTTCGCATGTAGAAATTTAAAAAACTTATTTGTACAAATTTTCAAAAGTATTTTTTTTTATGATAATTTATTTGTTATAAAAATTAAAAAAATTATCAAATGTCAGCTGATCTCAGTGTCATTTTTTTAATGAAAATTAAATTAGCCTACATCTGAAAATTTTTATTAGTATTATTTGTTTATTTGTTTACAAGTTGCTTTGTGACATCTAGGTCATTAGCGACTACATGAAAAGATAATTTACATTAAAGGAAACAACGATACATTCTTTAGGAAAGTGATGACTTTTTTACCTCCATTGTTGTCCATTAGGGTTCCTGTAAGCTCGTTCGGTAGGCCAGCTTATATACTGTCTTGTTCGTATTGTTTGCACTCGATCATTAGGTGTTTGACGGTAAATGGGGCATTGCATCTTTGGCAGGTGGTGTGGGGCTCTTTTGAAAATAGGTGAGAGTGGCTGAGGTGCGTATAGCCTATACGGATTTACGTTAATACTCGCTGCTCCCATCTACTAAATGTTGGAGCTGTCTCGAAGATGTTTTCTCGAAAGTCATGTAGTTTACTTTTTGATTGTTGCCAGATAGTGTTCCGATGGTATTTAATTGTGCTGTGGATCAGTTTGTAGGCTTCAGTAAGGGTCAGAGGTGTAATCAATAGATAATCTTCGGATGTTGCGGCCTTGGCCGCCTCGTCCGCCAGTTCATTTCCCGGAATTCCTACATGGGCTGGGGTCCAGACGAAGCTTACATGTTTTTGTTGAGATCTGAGGTGATCCAGAGCTTGGTGGATGTTTTGAATGATAGGATTTGTGGTAAACTGGTTCTTAATGGCCCTTAAGGTAGACAATGAATCTGAGAAGACGGTGCTCTTTGCGGTATCTTGTCGTTCTTTGATTATTTCTAGTGTATGTAAGATCGCTTCAGACTCACATGTAAAGATGGAGTTGTTGTCATTAGCTCGTCTAGTCGCTATTGTACTAGAGTTGGAAATTATTGCATATCCCGATTTTCCCTTGACAACTGATCCATCGGTGTAGTATTCGACTCAGGGTAAATATTTGTCACGAAGTTCGCAGAAGAGTAATCTTAAGGTCTCTGGAGCTGTTGTTAGGCGATCTTGGTCGATGAGTTCCATATTTACAGGGATGTCTAAGGAATGCCATGGAGGGTGGAATCCTAAAGAACGCTTATACACAGTTGGTAGGGTAATTCCGAGTTCTGCAGAGTATTGTGATACTCGAATCCTAAGTGGTTGTGGAGTAGAGCTTTCGAGGTAGCGATTAGGTGCTGCGTTTGTATAGATACAGTGGAATGCGGGGTTGTTAGATGTCGTGGATATAGCGAGGGCATATTTAAGACAAAGTTCTTTCCTTCTGATAGATAGGGGGAGTTCTCCAGCTTCCGCGAGCAGGCTGTAGGTCGGGCTAGTTCTAAAGGCTTCAAGACAGATACGGCATGCAGAGTTTGTGATGGTTTGGAGCTTGTTCAATAGCGAGGAGCTAGCTGAATCGTATATTATGGCCCCGTAGTCAAGCTTCGTTCTGATGAAACTTCTATATATTCTCAACAAGGCTTCGGTGCTGCTTCCCCATTTCTTTCCTGCTAAGACCTTTATAATACGTAAGCGATTTTGGCAATAGTTTTTCAAGGTTTCGACGTGGGCCCTCCATGTGAGTTTTCGGTCGATCGTGAGTCCCAGAATTTTGATCGCATCCCGTTTCTGTAGAGGTTGGTTATTAAATAAATTGGTCTATTTAAATAAATAGAGTTGGAGATTCTTTTTTTTGGGTTTACTGTGGTTCCCGACTATCATATGTTCCGATTTGGTCGGTGAAAATGTAAAGCCGCAGCTTTCTGCCCAAGTTTGCAGGTTGTTCAGAGCTTGTTGTACAATGTGAAAGGTGAACTCGATATTTTTTCCCCAGTACGTTATTGAATAGTCATCGATGAATAGGCGTCCACGCAGCGGAGACTGTACGATTTGTAGGGCATGGTTGATTGTGACTATGAAGAGAATGACGCTGAGTACTGAACCTTGTGGTAGTCCGTTGATGGAAACTAGGTCGGAAAGGGTTCCATTGATCCTTACTTTCATGCAACGGTGGGTTAGGAAGTTGGTAATAAAGGCTATAAGATTGCCCGAAAATCCTAACGAGTTCATATTTTCTATAACTTTAGGAATCTTAGTTCTCTCATATGCTTTTTCTATCTCTAAGGATAACATGAGGAGGTGTGCATTGTCTGCTAGGGCCTCGCACATATCAGCTTCGACAGTGACTAAGTACTCGGTGGTAGACCTGAAGTTGCGTGATCCATACTGATGAGGTGAGAGCAATCCCTCTTTTTCGAGTCGCCATCTGATTGGCCGGCAGATCATTTTTTTCCATAATTTACATATATTGCAGGTGAGCGAAATCGGTCTATAGTTCTATGTTTTTGTACGATCTTTATTAGGCTCCAGGATTGGGATAACCGTGGCTTCTCTCCACTGATCGGGAAAAGAGTGTAACTTCCATAGATGATTGTAGATTGCCAATAGGTACTCGAGGTAATCATGAGGGAGGTTCTTGATGAAATCGTTTGGAATGCCGTCCGGTCCAGGGCTAGAGTTACGGCTCTTGGAGATAGCTTGTGATAGTTCGTGGAAGGTGAAGGGGTTGTTGATAGGGTCGGGATTGTCTGCTGTATCATTATCAAGAGTCTGTTTAGGTGAGATGAAGTACTCATTTTTGTTGTGGTTGGAGCTATTTGAATTTGAAGCGAATGCTTCAGCCAGGATGTTGGCAGTTTTCTGGGTATCGTCAATTATTTCGCCATTAGGATCTATGATGGTCGGTGCGTAAAGGGGAGAATGCTTACCAGAATTTCGTTCGATTTTGTTCCATACGATTGCTGAGGGTGTTTGATCATTTATTGTAGAGATAAAGTTGTTCCAGCAATCTTTTTTACTTGATTTTACGGTACGGCGTGCTACAGCTCGTCTTTTTTTGAACGCTATCATGCTCTCTTCGGTAGGATTATTTTTATACTTACGAAAGGCTTTTTTTGAGTCTTTGATTGCGGCTTGGCATTCAGAGTTCAACCATGGTACTGTTTTCCGGCGCTTTGACCCCGATGATTTGGGGATGGAGTCGTTAGCTGCTGCGGTGATGGTTTCAATGAAGGGTGTAATGATTTCATTAGCTGTCATATTGATGAAAGACGAAGGATCGGGAAGAGACAGTTTCTTGTTGATAAGAATGCTGAAGAATAGTTTCCAGTAAGCATTCTTTATTATCTATTTTTTAGGAATGATGGTTCGTTATTAATCCTTTGGAAGTCGATTTCAATTGGGTAATGGTCACTGCTGAAATTGTCTTCTCGGACGGTCCATTCGAGGTCGGTTGCTATGGTAGAAGAAGCGAACGTGAGGTCAATGGAACTTTGTTTAGCAGTTTTAACGTTAAAGTGGGTGCTTGACCCATTATTGAGAAGAATAACCGTGTCAAGCTCATTGTACCAATTTTCTATGGTTTTGCCTCGACCATCTGTACTTTCAGATCCCCATAATGAGTTATGTCCATTAAAATCTCCGCAAATGATGTAAGGTGTGGGCAGTTGGTGGGCTATGTCCAGTAGTTCGTTCTTATTTAATGGTCTGCTGTTTGGGAGGTAAATATTTCAGATAGTGAATGAGTGAGCTGATCGCACTTTCACGGCTGCTGCTTCTAGAGGGGTGTTAAGTTGTACCGTTTCTGAGATTAATTTCTCCTTAATGTAGATTGCTACTCTTCCGCTGGCTCTCATCGAGGAACTCCGATTATTATGTACCACCTGATATCCGTGGATGGTTGCGCAGAAATTTTCTTTGAAATTGGTATCTTGTAAGCAAATGCAGTCGTAATCAGATTCTTTTATCAGAAGTTCAAAGTATTCTTTTTTTGCAAAGAAGCCGTTCATATTGCACTGTAAGATAAGCATTGAGGTTAGGTTATATCACAGGAAGCCAGGGGTTTAAGAATATCGGAGTTTAAATAGCAGTTAAATTGATCCTTGCGAGTTTGTCGATGCCAAGTCAGATATTGACTCCTCTAGATCCATCAGGTTGCCACTGGAGCCATATGAGCTTTGTGAAGATGTATCGTCAATAACATTTCCTTCGATTCTGTTGATAATTCGGGTGAAGCGACGTTTTTGTTTTCGGTTCTCGAGGTGGAGATACAGTTTTCTTAGCATCACAACAGTGTCAGCTGCACTGAACTTGTGTTTTGCCAAGAGTTCCTCAATACATTTGATCTTAGGCGCATCTTCTAGGAAATTAGATAGTTGTGTATACGAGTACGGGAAATCAGCAGGGGTACTTTGCATTGCTACTTCGATCGAAGTTGGTAAGGAGAGAATTTGAGAATCTGGCTTAACTTTTTTAGCTAGTCTTAGTTGTTCGGTGGTTTTTGGCTTTGCGAATAACTGTTCCTGGGTCAACACCGACGATTGCGAGGACCCATCTGACCTTGGTCGTTTGGTGGAAGGGCTTGTATTGTTTATGTCCGCGGGTGGTTTTGTAGTGTTATTCGGTGCAATAAGAGTTGAGGTTCTAGATGGCAGAGAGGGGAAGGTAGGTTTTTGAGTGACCGTATTTTCCTGTGAAGAGTGCGAGGTCGTTGTCATTTTAGTCTTATCTGCGTCACTCTGGGGGTTTATTGGGCAGGCTTTCGCTAAATGCCCCTCCTCTTTACAATTGAAGCAAAGCATTGTGTCAAGAGAGGAATAGACGTAGTAGGATGTGTCATCGAAGTCTATTTTCCAAAGTGTTGGAATGTTGTTAGCTTCTTCGGGTTTAATAAATACTTGTCGTCTAAAGCTTAGTATATGTTGGTATCCGGGAATGTTTAATCCTGCACGGAGCGTTGAAATGTTTGAGACTGGATTAATTTCGGATTCCTTTAATTTTTCAATGATAACGTCATTGGGGATTATTGGTGGGACATTAGACAAGATTAATCTTTTGTTTCGAGAGATTAAGGATCGTATATAAATATCAGTGTCTCTCACCTTTACTGTTTTGTGGTTTTCGATGAGGTTGTCAGCCACCTCCTTTGTTGACAGATAAATACATACTCGGTTATTCGCGATCCTTGAAAGATATCGGATGTTTTCTGGTCCAATTTTGCTCCCTAATGCGACTGCATATTCGTGGATTTGTACACCATCGACAGAGTCTAAGATGATGGCTTGTTCTTTAGACGGGACGTTTTCGGTTAGGAGGGCCTGGGTACAGTTTAGTGAAGCTACCATTGGGACGGTTGATAAATCTCTTGGTACAGAGATTCGCCGCGTTGTATAGATACGATTATATAGAGGCACAGTAGTCACGGATTATCGAACACCTTCAACAGTTGAGATTGACAGTATAATTGTACACTAATATGAGCACTACACACTCGTAGAACGGAGTTTTCCAAAGACACGTCTGTTCAGTACGAACGTTGACTGAGGACTGTTGCTGAAAATTTTTATAATTTTCTTTATTAAAAAAATCAAAATAAAAAATTTCAGATGTCGAAGATTTAAAAAATTATACGTGCAATTTTTTAAAAGTATTTTTTGACTTGCAATTTAATTGTTGAAAAAAATGCAAAAATTGTTGGACGTCGGCTAATTTTAATATAATCCACAGATTCGGTAGAATCTGGCGCCAAGGTCCGTTCAAAAATCCCGTTGTAAACGAAGCGCCAGACTACCGACTGTGTTTACTGTAAGCAGAACGGTTTTTTGAGGTTGCGAATTTAAATTAATTCTACAGACCTTTTTTTCCTTCAATAATACTCTATAATAATACTTTATGTGTTATATTATCAATATTAATTAATAATGCTTATTAAAAATAATGAATTCTATTTAAAATTAATTAAATTCACTAGCACAAACTATAGCGACCCAGATTTTTAGATTCTGACTTTTTTCTTATGGAGAAAGTGACATGCCACAGACTAAATAATTCGAGAATGCATGGTTATCCTTCTATAGATGGGAAACTACAGTTAGAAAGAGATATTTCACAACTTGCGCCTAGACCCGCCAGGGTGCGCTGGAATTATTTCTACATAAACTGTAGCTTCAAGGGGATAGTTTGCGCCGCAGACTAGATATCTAGGGGCGAACCACGAGTTAACTATGTGATGCTTTGGATTGCGTCCAGCAGGTGACACTACTTGTCGCGAAGCGCGAATTCAAACATTTTTTCCGGGTTAATACTGTAATTCTAGTTCTACACGCCTTATAGAAATAGTAGAGAAAAAATTGAACTATTATTGTTAAGAAAAAATAAAATTATTGTAAGAAACCGAAAAAAAATTGATACAACCTATAAAAAACCGAGTGTGTATTTACCGTAAGCAGAACGGTATTTTGAGGTTGCAAATTTTTTTTCAAATTTATTTGGATGTCTTATTTATATGATGTTTTATATAATGGTAATAGTAGTAAATACTCTTTATTACACGTATTAATAAATTACTGCAGTTAATATGCGACCACCGAGATATATGAATTATTATGAATAAAAAACTTTGGCTGAATAATTTTTTTTATATTTGAAATCACACTGGACATAAAATTGGGTACTTTATAAATAAATTATTAATTATAACAGTGCTATCACTAGATTAATTACAAATAATTCAATGGACAAATGTGACCGACCAAATTTATCAAATTAGAAAACTATTAAACCCTCTTCCGAAAATTTGACATAAAAAATTTACCGTAAAAAATTGTAAAACCAAAAGTCATTCATTCTTATCAAGACCTTTATGATGATAACAAACTAAACCATAAATATTCTTTTAAAAGAAATAATATGCTTATCACAAAAATTTCCTTTCTCTCTTAATTGTTTAAATCATAAATAATTATCGCTAAAAAATATATACATTTACATACATAAAACACAATAAGGGCGAACCAAATAACCAAATGATAGCTTTCCCGAGAAAAAATGTTTCTATATAATCATATATAATTGTATATGATCATATATGATTATATATGGAATCACATATATAATTATATAGAATTATATATAATCATATATAATTATATAGAATTATATATAATCATATATAATTATATAGAATTATATATAATCATATATAATTATATAGAATTATATATAATCATATATAATTATATAGAATTATATATAATCATATATAATTATATAGAATTATATATAATCATATATAATTATATAGAATTATATATAATCATATATAATTATATAGAATTATATATAATCATATATAATTATATAGAATTATATATAATCATATATAATTATATAGAATTATATATAATCATATATAATTATATAGAATTATATATAATCATATATAATTATATAGAATTATATATAATCATATATAATTATATAGAATTATATATAATCATATATAATTATATAGAATTATATATAATCATATATAATTATATAGAATTATATATAATCATATATAATTATATAGAATTATATATAATCATATATAATTATATAGAATTATATATAATCATATATAATTATATAGAATTATATATAATCATATATAATTATATAGAATTATATATAATCATATATAATTATATAGAATTATATATAATCATATATAATTATATAGAATTATATATAATCATATATAATTATATAGAATTATATATAATCATATATAATTATATAGAATTATATATAATCATATATAATTATATAGAATTATATATAATCATATATAATTATATAGAATTATATATAATCATATATAATTATATAGAATTATATATAATCATATATAATTATATAGAATTATATATAATCATATATAATTATATAGAATTATATATAATCATATATAATTATATAGAATTATATATAATCATATATAATTATATAGAATTATATATAATCATATATAATTATATAGAATTATATATAATCATATATAATTATATAGAATTATATATAATCATATATAATTATATAGAATTATATATAATCATATATAATTATATAGAATTATATATAATCATATATAATTATATAGAATTATATATAATCATATATAATTATATAGAATTATATATAATCATATATAATTATATAGAATTATATATAATCATATATAATTATATAGAATTATATATAATCATATATAATTATATAGAATTATATATAATCATATATAATTATATAGAATTATATATAATCATATATAATTATATAGAATTATATATAATCATATATAATTATATAGAATTATATATAATCATATATAATTATATAGAATTATATATAATCATATATAATTATATAGAATTATATATAATCATATATAATTATATAGAATTATATATAATCATATATAATTATATAGAATTATATATAATCATATATAATTATATAGAATTATATATAATCATATATAATTATATAGAATTATATATAATCATATATAATTATATAGAATTATATATAATCATATATAATTATATAGAATTATATATAATCATATATAATTATATAGAATTATATATAATCATATATAATTATATAGAATTATATATAATCATATATAATTATATAGAATTATATATAATCATATATAATTATATAGAATTATATATAATCATATATAATTATATAGAATTATATATAATCATATATAATTATATAGAATTATATATAATCATATATAATTATATAGAATTATATATAATCATATATAATTATATAGAATTATATATAATCATATATAATTATATAGAATTATATATAATCATATATAATTATATAGAATTATATATAATCATATATAATTATATAGAATTATATATAATCATATATAATTATATAGAATTATATATAATCATATATAATTATATAGAATTATATATAATCATATATAATTATATAGAATTATATATAATCATATATAATTATATAGAATTATATATAATCATATATAATTATATAGAATTATATATAATCATATATAATTATATAGAATTATATATAATCATATATAATTGATCTTAAAAAAAAATTTTAAAAACGGGTTTATTCACTAAAACTGATAATTAATACACTAAGCGGTGTTATTTTTAATGAGTTCAGTATACTTAACTAATGTAAATCTATATAAATAAATATATTCAAGCGAAATTGATTTTTCTTCAGTAGAAATTCTTCCGAAAAAATTTGGGGTACTCAATGACGCGCGCCAAGTACGATAAAAAATTTTTTTTATAATTTTTTAATTTTCAACAAATTGTTTTTCAATTTTTTCAACATTATGACGGTTTCTTGGTATTTTTTTGTATTTCACATTTTTTTGTAGAGAATGAAAATTATTGAAACGAATCTAATTTTTTTTGTACAATAATGTTATTGAGATGAGTTTTATGAACGTGGACTTGGCGCAATTTTTTACAGTGAAACTGTTTCTGTTCAGATATCTTTTTACCAAGTTTATATTTAATTATAAATTTCGTCAATTAATGAATATTGAAAATAATTTTAAAAAAACTTTATCAACTAACATCAATTTTTATACTGTAAATAACGGAAACTTTGGTTTGAGCGACAACTGAGCAAGTTATGGTTGAATGTTTATTTGAATCTTCTGTTTCTACATCATTCAAAACGTGTCCTGACTCGAATAATTTTTTTCTTTTTATGTCATTTTGACCCCTAATATGGATATTTTTGACAGACAAGAACCAGAATTTAATTATTTTTTTCATAATTTATTTCAACTAATACTACTTATTACACTGCTTACATCACTATGCTTTACATTTTTAACACCAGGGTGCTCTACTTTCAGCAGTAGTGCTGCCTCTACAGTTCTTTCTCAATCCCTATAGGGACCGAGCGCTAACTGTAGAGGCACCTTATCTGTCTGAAGTGGCGCGCCCTGGTGTTTAACGTAAGCACTAAATGGGCAAAAAGTATTTAAATATTTTATGTATTTTTTTACTAAATAATAGAATAAATAATAAAATATGCTTTTTGACCAGTATTAATTGGTCGTATTGGAAGGAAAAATAATTCAGAAAGTTGAAAAAAAAAATTAGGCCATGGATATTAAATGTGTTAAAAGAAATTTAACATTATTAAGTAAAATTCCGCCTCTAAACACGTCGTATGTCTGTCATTTTTCTCTGGAGTACCACTGGTACTGAGCGAAAAATAATAAAATTTCACAAGTTTGTCAATTTGACGGTTCTGACTTGATATATTTATATATGTCTTGATATATCAAAACTCTACAGTTAAAAAAATTTCAAACAATTTATTAATTTATTTGAATAACAAATAAATTAACATTGAATCACATTTAAAATTTTTGCCCATTAGCTTACAATTTCTATCACTAGTTGTCGTGATAGTCTAGAGGCTCGGTCCCTATATCACAACATAAAAATGTCAACTGATTGATTATTATTGTATTCACCTTAAAATAAAACACGCGTAGGGTTTTTATTTATAATATTTTTTATCAATCAGCTGATTAATATTTTTAGTTAGTTTTATTAACTTATAGGTATATGCAACGAGGATAAAAAATCTCAGCTAACTAATAACTCTCAGTCTTGAATTATAAAAAAAAAAAAAAAAAGTTTTGAAATTTTGTTATTATAAATATCAATAATCAATAGATAATTTTTTTCATATACTCAGTTGTATTATCAAATGACAATGTAAGCTAATCGAAAATAGTAATTTTCACTTAATAATAAAATATACGCGTGGGGTTTTATACTTAGGATTCTTTTATAAATCAGCAGATCGGCTTTTCTAGTTAATTCTATTTGCTTTCGGGTATATTTAATTGGAATAGAAAAAATGTTGATAAGGAATAACTCCTAGAGTTGAGTTAAGACAAAAAAATTGATTAGAAATCATCTTGTTGTCAAAACATGCAGAAAGAATTTTTTATCTATAAAACTAATTTACATAATAACATGCTAACGTCAGCTGATTTACTATTATTATATTATTTATAATACGAAACATACGCGTGGGGTGTTGTCAATACTATTTTTTATAAGTCAGCTGATCAATTGTTTTTGATGGTTTTTTTTATCTCACAGATATATTTAGCTAGGATAGTGAATTCTACCTAAGCAACTACTCTTAGAGTTGAGTTATAAAAAAAAAAAAGAAAAAAAAACATTGATTAAAAATTTTTTTATTATCACAACAAGTTATAAGAAACCAGGGTTACCAAACCTCGGGTAATTACCCGAACTGCGGGTAAATTTATCTCTTGCGGGTAAGGCAGCGGGTATTTCAACCATGGGGAATTTTCGGGTATAACTAGTAATTGTCACCTTGATCTAACGTTGAAAGCTTCAGGTTATATTTTCATATTACACATTTGCACTTCTACATTCTACATTTTACTTGTTCCTTAGTTTATTCCTATTTAAAATTTGCTTTGAATCAGACAATTGAGTTCAACTCATAAATTTTACTCGTAAATTATTGGTCATGATAATAAATGAGTCAATCAAACGTTAAAGAATTGATACCGTTACTTGATGACAATAATGAAATGCGTCGAACTGTTGCTGGCAATTATCTTTTTATTCTTAAACCTGGTAAGTATAAAATAATTATTCTAAAATTAATAGATCATCAAATTGTTATTTTAAAATAATGTACAAATGTTCGTTGTTGTTTTTTAATGTAATCAATATTATTAATATTAATTTGTGAAAAAATTTTTTTAAGATGGAGTTATAATCAGTATTGAACCTGTTCATATTGTCGACGCAGATGAAGATTTGAGCAGCGATACATCTCTTGAGAATAGTTTTTCGTTAATTGATGAAGAAGCACACAGTAAGTATTTTATATTTAATATTATATTTTTCATCTTCTAATATTTATTTAATTAATTTTAACTAGTTCATGACGGAAGTTTAGCTGAATCAGACAAACGAGAAGAATAAAATCTGCAAAATGGATCGCTGGTTAAAGAAGAATCCTAGTCAAGGTCCAGTCACTCCTAATTTATCAGACATTTGCAACATTGTATCTCTCCCTTCACCAAGCAGTGATAGTGAAACAGATTCATCGGCAACTATAAAAAAAGTAAAAGTTAAAAGACTATCGCAATCACAACGCTCATCAAAACAAACTAAAAACAAATTCCAACGAAGTTGGCTTCAGGATGAAGAATTTAAGGGTTGGTTAATGAAATATGATAAAACTAAAAATGGAAATGAGATGGCTTTTTGTAAGATTTGCGATAAAATCCTTACTTGTCACAGAAACGATATTCGACGGCATAAAAATTCTCACGCCCATAAAGACAATTCGACAGGAATCCAAATTTCTCAAAAAATGCCTGAAAAATGCAAGTTTGAAACATCAGTACGAAAAGCTGAACTATTATTTGCAGGAATTTTAGTTTCTCAAAATATAGCATTTTCTTTTATGGATGTTTTGAGTCCATGTTTAGCTAAAGCATTTCCAGACTCTGAAATAGCTAAAAAATTTTCTATGCGTCGAACAAAAGTAACTCAGATTATAAATAATGTACTTGGTTCTAATTTAAAAGAGGATCTTTATCAACAATTACAAACCCTCGGATGCTTTTACTCTGTGATAATGGATGAAACGACTGATGAAACTACCACCAAACAATGTGCTTTCACGGTAATATTTTTTGACGAAAAAAAATAACAAATTACAACACGGTTTTTGGACATGGTGGAAATAAAAAACAGCGGTACGGCGAATAATTTATACGAGTGTTTGAAACTTTGTCTAGCTGAAAAAAATATATCTGCGAATCTCATCGGCTTTGCATCGGACACTACATCTGTAATGGCAGGATCTAAGCATTCTATATTTACATTATTGAAAGAGGACTTTCCAAATATTGTAACTGTGAAATGTTCATGTCATATGATTCATTTAGTGGCGTCAAAAGCGTGTCAAAAACTTCCAGAATCGTTGGAAAGTTTATTAAAAAAATTAAGCAGTCATTTTCATAAAAGTAGCATTAGACAAGATCGACTACGAGAATTTCAAGAATATTTTTCCGTGCAATCGCATAGAATCTTGTCACCTTCAAATACTCGCTGGTTAGCGTTGAAAGAATGTGTTGATCGAGCTCTGGAGCAATACACGCCGCTGAATGAGCATCTCAGAGAATCTGTCTTTAGTGAACCAACTGTAGCAGTTAATGAAATGCTTGAAATAATGGAAGATGAATTTACTAAGATATATCTTGAGTTCATGTCGTATATTTTAGAAATTTTGGTCGACTTTAATAAGTTATTTCAGTCGGAAAACTCACTGTTACATATTTTAAAATCAGAAACCGAAAAAATGGTGAAAAATATTTATTGCAACTATTTAAATATTCAGTACGTGAAAAGTAATGACGTCTTTACTTTAAATCACGAAAATGTCGAGGAGTTTGTTCCACTAGAAAAAATATATTTTGGAGTTTCGGCATTCGCTACTCTAAGTGACCTGAAAAAAGAGAATACTTTTCCAGAATTTGAAATAAAAGAAAAAGAATTCTTTGGGATCAGAGGATAGAAGAGAAAGGGGTTTAGGGTTTAGTGGGTAGGGGCGTCAGCGTCGAGTTTTAGTATGACGCTGCGTCGAGTCGCCACATATCCGGGCCAACATCTATGCCTAGAATCCGTAAAAAGGATTCCCCCCCCTAAAGGGAAAAAAAAAAAACACACACACACACACACACACACAGACGTACGGACATCATCGTAAAAATAGTCAGGGAAGCTTCCTGTGACCTTCAAACGTCGAGATCTGATGAAAACTCGATTTTTGTAAAACGGGGTGAAAACAATAACTTCCCGATTTTTGAAAATCCGAGATTTTTAGCGGAAAGTTAAAAATTGAAAATTTCGCGATATCCATAATCAGAAGCCGCATCTCTAAGTACCAACTAATTTTCTATTGATTAGTTAAAAATTAAAAGACTATTTTATAAGAAAAAATTTATCTTTTTAATTCGAATAATCATAACACATTCAAATTATTTGGCCAGTACTTATCATTTTTTTTTTTTTATTATTATTACTCACATATTATTATTCAAATATTTTAGAAAGTCAATTCATATTATTAAAATGCACGTCAACAGTGTTCATCTTTCTTTAGTTTTGAAAGGTTCGATGAATTAAACCTTGAATTTTATAATATTTACTATTATGACCATGACAGTATCACTATCGTCAATCCGGCTTCCCTTCTTCTATTCGGTTGACGTTAGGAGTGGGAAGAACCCAATATATTATGTATGGGGATGTTTCATAATATTACCACTTTAACAAAACTGGTCTTAACAAACGCGTGTGTTTTTTTGGCTACATCAACAAATCTGAAGTTCAAATTAACAGACCTATAACTTCTTCGTAAGGTAAAGTTAAAAGTTTTTTTCACTTATTAAAACTTATGCTTTTGAAAAGGGTTAAACGCACTAAGGAGGTTTAAAAAGTATTTATTCTTTTCCTGCTGTGACAATAAATAATTTTCAAAAGTAGGAAGTTATTAATTTCAGTGTTATTTTGAAAAGTCGGATTATCATCAGATTTCCACATTTTGAAGTCCGAGGAAGCCGTTTCAAATATTCCCAGCTAGACGTGCAGCCGTGTGTTTACTGTATGGTGAACACAATATCTTTATTTTGATCATCTATGTAAAGAAAAAAAAATATGTATGTGTATCAGAGTACACAGGTAAGAAGTAAAACTTCTTTATGACACATCATTTTTCTACTATTTATAACTTCATAGAAATTGGGTAGATAAAGCTTAAGAAAAAAAAATTTTTCCATATTAAATTAAAGATATTTCAATATTATAATAACCATGCATACAGATAATAAGAGTAATTCATTTTATCATTGCACTTATGATAATTATTGTATTTCATCGCATTATAATTAACATTGTTGTCATTATTTAGACTATGCCATTATTTAATCTAAAAATTATTTAATCAGTTTATAAAAATTATATAAAAAACATTAATATTCAAATCTTATGTCATAACATAGTAAAAATAATTAAAAGCAGATATTTAATAACTTACACACTGTTTGATTTTTAAATTATTATTTAATTTGTTGTTTTAATTGTTTTTAGAATTAATAATAATTACTAAATTAATTCTTTACGTCGCTATACGAAGCTTCGATAGAAACAAACAACATGGCGCGTAACCGAAAATCGTGACGATTTTTTATATATTGCTATAAAATTTCTCTCATACGTCGATAAAGAAGTTTTACTTCAATAATAAAGAAACAATTATTAGTATAATAATTAACTAGTAAACGAATACACAACCAATAGGGCGTATATTCTTTCTCGATATCCCGTATTCTCTCTCTCTCTCTTGTTCAATCTTTCTCACTATAGCTCTCTCCCACCTCACACACCATAGCACTATGCGTGA